CCCCGGCGCGTCCGCGGTATCGGGACCGGCTGCAGCCGGGAGGGTGTTCGCGCGCACTCGCCTCTCACGCGGCGCCGAAGGACAAAGAAAAGGGGCGCTACCTGCAAGCGTCGGTGGCCATGGGAACGCGCGTGCACGTACCCGGGAAGAAGGCACCTTCGGACTACATTTCCCAGAAGGCCCGGCGGCCCGGCGTCCTAGCAGCGCTGGTTGCCTGGAGACGCGGAAGGGCGGCGAGCTCCGGGAGAACGCTTTCGGGAGGGACTTAAAGGCTAGGATTTTAAAAGATTAGGAATTGAAACCCAAAAGTAGGTTTCTTAAAAAAGACAATTGGCTTAAGCATTCCATTGAGGGAAACGGAATTTAAAAAAATTGTGGAAAGCAAAGAGGAGTTAATCGGTGGGAAAAGGTAAAGCCGATCCTTCATTCCAATGCTGTGGGGGAAAATGGTAAATATATTAGTAACTATTCCCATAAAGAGAGAAAGGGTAGGAGGAAGAAAGGATAAATAACCAGACACAGCAAACTGAATGAGAATCCTCTCGGTGCTAATAAATTTGAAAAAGTTTAATGGCACAAATAGATATATCAAATTTGACCCAATAAATGAGAAAAACTAATCATGGATGAAAACGAAGACAATTTCAGAGATTCTCTGTCGAAAAGCACCAGTCATGGAACCCTGGCGAGTAGCTCAGTTGGTTAGAGCGTGGTCCTTATTCGACAAGGTTTCTCTCTCTTTCCCTTTCTCTCCCTAAAAATAAATAAATTTTAAAAGTAAATAAAAATACAGAGAAAAGAAGGAAAAGCATCAGTCATTGAGTTTCTGGTGAATTCTTCCAGACATCCAGCAGAGAATTATTATATTTAAATAGTTCCTGAGGAATTAGGAGGAACCTTTTATATTTATCAAATAGCATAGGACACCAAAATCAACAAATGTAATGATTTAAAAAGGAAGCATAGACAAAACTTAATTACTACTATCCATGCAAAAATACTGAGAAATTATTAACATAAGAAGCTGGCAATACCTTACAAAAATATGCTATAACCAAGTGGGTTCTATTCTAGAAACACAAAGATGATCTGGCTACCCATTAATATTACCTTATCAATAAGTCAAAGGAAAAATATAATCACTTCAATAAGATTAAAAGAAAAATTTTAACTTAAATGTGCATTCTAGCCCGGCCGGTGTTGTTCAGTAGATGAGCATCTGAGCATATCTTTCAATTTTTCTTTTCAGTTCCTTTATGAACTTTAATACGTAGCATTTTATTTTTTATTTTTATTTATTTATTTTCATAGCATTTTAACATTTTATTAATAAATTCTCAGTTTATGCAAGTTTTTAAAATATTTATTCCTGGATCTGATTTTAAATTCAACATAATATAAGACGTATTATTCCTAAGTGTTTTATCATGCCTGTTGATATTATGGTCAGTTTTTCCCCCTCCCCCTTGTGTATTTTCTTATTGGCTATTGTGCTATGAACTGAATGTGTACCTCCAAAATTCATATATTGAAATCCTAACCACCAGTGTGGCTGTATTTGAAGATGGGCATTTAAGAAAATTAGGGTTACATGTGGTCATAAGGTTGGGGCCCTGATCCCATAAGATTGTTGTCCTTAATAAGAAGCAGGGAGCTCTCTCTCTAATCACACACCAAAGAAAGGCCATGTGAAGACAGGAGAAGGTGGCTGTCTGCAGGCCGGGAAGAGGGCTCTCACCAGAAACTGGCCCTGATGACATCTTGGTCTTGGACTTCTAGCCTCCAGGACTGTGAGAAAATAAATTAATGTCTGTGTTTAAGGCAAGCAGTGTGTGGTATTTTGTTACAGCAGCCAGAGACGACTAAGACAGATGGCATATAGGAAAATATTGATTTGTACCTAGCAACATTGCTAAAATCACTTTTCAGATCTTGCCTCTAATAACAATTCTTGCCCGAGCTGCTTTGGCTCAGTGGATAGAGCATTGGCCAGCGGACTGAAGAGGCCCGGGGTCCATTCTGTTCAAGGGCACATGCCTGGGTTTCGGACTCGATCCCCAGTAGGGGGCGTGCAGGAGGCAGCCAATCAATGATTCTCTCTCATCATTGATGTTTCTGTATCGCTCTACCTTCCTCTATGAAATAAAAATATTCTTTAAAAAATAAAATAAAGTAACAATAATTCTTTCTCTTTCTTTCTAGTCCATATAATTATTAATCTTCATTTTTTGACCTCTTGCATTGAATAGTATGCCAGTTCAATGCTTAACAGTATGAGAAATAGAATCAGTAGGTCCTGACTTTAATTATGTTTCTAAAGTTTTACTTTAATTATGTTTGCTATGGGGTTGGCAGTTGTTTTTTTATTATATTAAAATGAAGTTACCTTTCATTCTGAGTTTGTTAAGAATTTTATCAAGAAGAATTGCTGAAATGTATTGAATATTTTCCTTAAGCTATCTGGGTAGTAATATTTTTTATATTAACCTATTTCTACATTAAATGGTTAATATGATTATTGGCCTTAAAAATAAAAGTTATTTTGCCAGCAAAAATGGGTTAATTCAGGACAAGCATGCTATAGCAAAAGCCATAGGCAAGTTCAACAAACAAAAGAAAGGAATGCTATTTTATGGAGAAAAAGGAAGAAGTTGGGACGAGTAGTTTTGAACAAAAGTTCATTGGGGAAAAGCAAGAGTTCAGGAGGAGGGTGGTTTCATTGGCTGAGCTGCAGGGGTGTTCGGTTTCTCGATTTCTTGTAGGAGATGCAATATATATCTTTTCTGTTGGGGCCTGTAATTGGTGATTCTTTCCTTTTGACGATTTCTTATTTTGGGATCTGTAATTGGCAATTCTTCCTGTAAATGACATCAAGTAGTACTGTGTGAGAGCTCACCCTCTGGCCTCCTGATTCCATTTTATTGAATATCCCCTTTACTAATTTTCACAAGATGAATATATTAATAAACTCTAATATTGAGTTATCTTGGACATATTATATATTTATAAGGTTGAACAATATAAATTTGTCCTTTTGGTTTGAGTCAAGTTGAAGAACGTAACATACATGCACTATTTATCTAATACAAAGAACTTATTCAGATTCCATCAATTGTCCTGATAATGTCCCAGAAACAAAATTTGGGGTTGGTATCCAATGTCAAATACCTTTAGCTACATTACACTGGAGCAGACTTTGTCTCATGACCTCAACATTTTTTTAAAAAGTGTGTCCCATTTTCATGCTGAATGGATCTCAACTTGTGTTTGTTAGATATTTCCTCACAATTTAGATTCCAATTATGCATTCTTGGCAGGAATACTACAGAGGTGATGTTGTACTCTCAGAGATCATATCAAGAATTTCAAAATATTATGTTTGTACCAGTAATGACAATATTAATTCTGATAGCTTAAGGTGATAAATGCCATATTTGTCTTTTGTAAAGTTACTATTTTTCCAATTGTAATTAATAAATATTCTGTGGGCAGATGTGTTGAGACTAATGAAATAGTCTCTCATAAAACTTTCACCCACCTAGTTTTAGCATTCACGGTTCTTGCCTTTCCTTTGGTATTTATAAAGTGAAATTCCACTGTAAGGAAGAGCTTTCCCTTGTTCCCTACTTGTTTATACATTTATACCAATATTCTAGATTTTGGCCGAAACCGGTTTGGCTCAGTGGATAGAGCGTCGGCCTGCGGACTGAAAGGTCCCAGGTTCGTCTGGAACCGACTCTTCCCTTACAAGCCTCAGAAGGAATCAAACCTACTGGCACCTTGATTTCAGGCTTCCAACCTCCAGAAGTGAGACTTGAAGCAAACACTCATTTTGTGGTACTTTGGGTTATAGAAGCCCTAGTAAATGAACAAAGATTTTGGTACTAGAAAATAGGGTGCTGCTAAAGCAAATGCCTAAAAATGTGGAAATGGCTTGGAATTGGTAGCAGATGGTAGAGTTTTGAGGCATTTGATAGACAAAGCCCAGGTTGCCTTGAGACAACTTGGTAGAAATACAAATGGTAAAGGTACTGCTTTGAGGTCATTCCCCTTATTCTTTGGGTTATAACCTGTTATGATTTATTTGGATGCTCTAACTATCCCAGATTTGGCTCATTTTCTAGCTGGTTGCAGTTTCCTTTTCATAAGACCCCAGTATTAAATTTTAAGACTTGTTCTATGGCCTAGCCTTCAGTCTATACCAGCCGTGGGCAAACTATGGCCCGCGGGCCGGATCCGGCCTGTTTGAAATGAATAAAACTAAAAAAAAAAAAAAAAAAAAAAGACCGTACCCTTTTATGTAATGATGTTTACTTTGAGTTTATATTAGTTCACACAAACACTCCCTCCATGCTTTTGTTCCGGCCCTCCGGTCCAGTTTAAGAACCCATTGTTGCCCTTGAGTCAAAAAGTTTGCCCACCCCTGGTCTATACTGTGTAACATTCCACATGTCCATTCTGGTGTAGCTGGGTAGAGTGCATGTCTGTTAGGTCTAGTTGGTTTATAGTGTTCAAGTTGTCTATTCCCTTTGATTGTTATGGGTTGAGTTGTATCCCCCAAAAGACATGGTAGAGTACTACACCTCAGAATGCCACCCTATTTATACATAGGATCTTTACAGAGATTATCATGTTAAAGTTAGGTCATTAGGAGAGCCCTACACCAATATGACTGGTAAACTTATAAAAAGGAGGAATTTGGATTAAAAATATATATACATAGGGAGAAAATTATATGAAGAGACAAAGGGAGAAGGTGGATATCTACAAGCATAGAGAGTTCTGGAACCGACTCTTCCCTTACAAGCCTCAGAAGGAATCAAACCTACTGGCACCTTGATTTCAGGCTTCCAACCTCCAGAAGTGAGACTTGAAGCAAACACTCATTTTGTGGTACTTTGGGTTATAGAAGCCCTAGTAAATGAACAAAGATTTTGGTACTAGAAAATAGGGTGCTGCTAAAGCAAATGCCTAAAAATGTGGAAATGGCTTGGAATTGGTAGCAGATGGTAGAGTTTTGAGGCATTTGATAGACAAAGCCCAGGTTGCCTTGAGACAACTTGGTAGAAATACAAATGTTAAAGGTACTTTTGGTAAGGTGTTGGGATAAAAATGAGTCACATGTTATTGGAGATTGAAGAAAAAGGAGATCTTTGTAC